CCCCAAAACCCCAAAACCCCAAAACCCCAGGCTATCTCTAAGCAATTGAAAGTATATAGTGTTTAATAATATACTTTACAGAGTTTTAGTAAGAAGATCTCTATTTGCCCACAAAACTGGGATAAAAGCCAACTAAGCTCACCCAGTTTCAACCCTAGGCCAATTTTAGCCACTAGTGAAGAGATGGATGGCTGCCTAAAAGCTTGGTTCAAAGAAGTGACCAACCACTTGTACAAAGTTATATGAAACTGTCAGATTCTAAAGAATTCAGGATTTTAAGAGACCATTTTTAGAGAATTGCAGAGGTTTGAATGGGCTGAGAAAGATGAACCAGCCACTTACGGTTAAGAAAGTGTACAGGAAAGTGGAGGTACTGCCCCAAGAACTTGGGATAATCCCTTCTTGGTTTTATAATCGTAGTTGACTGAGAAAACATTTTTAATGTATGACATTTTCCTTACTCTTTACTTTCTTCTTTAAGTTTACCCATCTGAGGGGAGTCCAACTCGGACACAACATACAGAGCCTCTCTATTGAAAGGATTTTCAGGATTTCTCTGTGGCTCTATCTCAGAGTCTTGGCTTATTATTTGGATGCTCTATAGGTCAAATACTATTGGTACTTGTAAAGGTGGCGCTTCATCATCAGTGTCCTTACGACCTTTCAGCTTCTTTCAGATCCAGCGGGCCAATAAAACAACTAGTCCAGCTAAAGGTCAGGTATGGGCTTACTAATGGATATTAAAACAATGATTATACTGTGAGCGAGTAGGTAGTTCATAAAAACAACTTCTAGTCCTCTACTCCATGCTGCCTCTGTGTTGCAGAATGCCAAGAAAACAGCAGTCAAAGTGAAGAAAATTTCATTAACTCATTCAACGAGATTTTCTTGATGACCATCAAGAGGACGAACAGCGAGGATATATAATAGGTATGGAGCTTGAATATACAGTAAGCCGACCATGTGCACTACAGCACCGAAAGACGATGCAAATATCATCCAAGAACACAAGAGAGCTCTTCTAAGCAATCCAAGCACTGGATAAAGTTTACCGCTAGTATTCTCCTTTGCTCCATTCGTAAACTCCCGAGAGATTTTGAGATTTCGAGGATTGTCTGAGCGGGATACAAAGTAATGGTAGACTGACCATAAGAAGAAACCTGTGCATAAAAACAACAAAACAATGGCAAAAATTAGAGAACTAATGTTCAGATCTTTCTCATTTTTGTCGTTGTTCCAAGTAGCTGATAAGCCAGCAAGAACCAAGAATTGGAATGTTTCATAAAAGCTTCGTATGTAAATAGTTAGCACAAATAAGCTCAATAGATTACTTTTAATGCTCCAATAAAGTTTCCTCATCTTTTGAGTATCATTTCTCGGCTTACAATTAGGTGATCAGAATAAAATTCAATGTAAGACTATAAAGCATAATACAGTAAGCATAAAGCTGATAGAGTTGTTGATGCTGCTTCCCGACTCGACTCCGATAATTTCAAGAGCAGGTTCAGCTAAAGGTCGGTAAAAAGAATATTACTTACTTTGTTCTATGTCTATCCAGTCAGCAAATTCATTTATAAAAGGGACCTCAGCTGTTGGGAGAAATCCAGCATCTATTGGGATCCCTCCTTCTCCTGATAAAATTCCTTGGACGTCGTCTGGCATATACCCATCGATTAAAACAAACAATTGCATGATCTGATCCTGGTTAATGATAGACCATAAGATCGTTGGGGGATCTGCACTGAAGACGGGAACAACTGTAGCAACAACAGCTGCTGATATTGATGAATACTTTGCAGAATCTGCTACTGACTCTCCATATGGAGTCATAACAACTACATTTGGAGTAACTCACTTCCCATTGCTTGCAAGTTTATAACCAGATTGACACTGAGCTCATTTGTTAGAGTCATTTTCATCTCATTGAGAGCACGACTCAATACTACAAGTTGATGATGAAGAAGTTGATGGGGTTGGGGTAGGGGTAGGAACAGTTCATACACTCGGTGCTGGAGAGTTTACACAAGTAGAACCTGTTTCAATATTACATGTAGCATCACAACCGTCTGAAGCATTTGTGTTGCCATCATCACAAGTCTCTGAAATACCAACAATACCATTCCCACAGACTGTAGTTGGGATGGAAGTTGATCATGAGACTGGGTTAGTAAGTCAACTCCCAGTTTCAAGCAAGCAGGCTTGATCGCATCCATCAGAGCTAGTATATCCTCCATCATCTCATTCTTCAAGGCTGCCACTTTGAATTGTGTAGATATTAAAAGATTCACTATGGGTTGAACTGAATCCTGGGACGTTTCCTTCAATTGGGTTGTAAGCATATCCTTCTAATTTTATATTATCATCGTCATAACTAATTCCGATCCTTTTCCATCCTTCTATATTAATTTAATTTCATATTAAGGGCTGGCATCCAGCAATAGAGATCTTAATACCCATGCTCATAAAGTATGCCATATTTTTCACATAAAACACTTATCAAGAATAAATCATTTTAATGTACTCTTTCTTCACATGACAAAATTGGTAAGCCAAAATGTAAAATTCTAGAAATAGTACTCCTTCACAGAGATAAATATTGAATTTACAGACTTGGAGTGTCAAATTAAGGTTAAGCAGCACTTGCGGTATGCAAAGCTCTCTTTGTACGTCCTGTTTTAGGTAAATAGCCTTGAAATGGAAAGACCATTACAAAAAGCATTCAAAAGCGACTTACTGACACTAGCGACCATGTTTAATCTCAGTGAGTTGTAGTCTACATTCTCGCCTATTCAGATGTTAAATTTTAAAGTCAAGTACCATTTTGATCTCAATACAGTTGACCTTTAATCACTGATCCTGATGCCTAAGAGTCATTACAAGAATTACCCCTGCGTTGATCCCACTAATATATCTGATTGGGTTATTTTCAAAGTAGTAAACCCATAGTCCAAAAGAGTACTGTTTGGAAGATGTCTCAAAATGTGTGGAGAACACCATATGCCTAAAAAATAACTAGCAAGCTTACTTGGTCGAATCCAACATCAGTCCTTGAGATACGACTGTAGGGTTATCAGCACCTAAACTTCATAAGGATCGAGTACCTCCAGGGAATGTGAGCACAGGAGCTCCTGTGTTTGAGTTAGAGTCAGTAAATTGTGTCGGAACCTCACTAAGAATGACACAAGTAAAGCTACCTTAATCCTGCAAACTTGTATTGTATGTGAACACAATTTATGAGCAACAATAAAGTAGATAGGAATATTATCTTTCTATAATTTCCACTTATGGTCTATAATGAGGTTATTCAAAACATCTTGGCTGTAAGGATCCTAGAAACAAGCAAAAGTCTGAGATATCACATAAAGGTCTATTAAACTAACAAGAGTACACAATATACTGAAACAATTGCTAATAATTGATCTCTCCTCTTATAAAACCTGTGATGCTAAAATTTGTTCTTCAATGTTATATTGCCTTAAGCATGATTTCGTACATCTTCAAGGAAGCCAATGTATTGGTAAACTGTTAATTCCAACAGAGAAGTTGCCAAATAAAGTTAACTTGACCTTATTCATGAAAAAATAGGCTAAATATAATACAAAGTTAAGCCAAATAGTTTCATGGATTCACCAACAGCTCACAAGGACTAGTTAAAATTACTTAATAGGCAACACCCAGAGTTCCATAAGACATCTATGGTATATCTTAAGGTTGCTCTGGGAGACTTATGCATGCATATAGACTACTAAAGTGTTGCAATAGCACCTCAGGACTATCATCTACTAATAACCAGATGTTTCACTAAATTTGTCTGAGATGCTAACTCCAAGTCCCAGAACCTAGTTCAAGAGTCCAGTCAAGTTTCAAAAGCAGTTTTTACAAGCAAATTGTTCACCCAAAGTGCCCTGATTGGGCTTAGCATCCTAATTCTTAGTTATTCTAAGATGCTATACTTCCTTTATCTAAAGTTATCTATGAATGTGAATACTCTATTGGGTTTGATAAAGATAGAAATTCAATAGAGCAAATGCTCTCTCAACATATGACCATAGAATATTTCCTGTAAACTGCAGATAGACAAATTACGTGATAAGGGTTCATCGGGGTTAGAAACTATCTAGTATAAAACTGTGTCACCGGATCTTTCAGTTTATTACCAAGCCATTTTAACTAACACAAAATACTTTGATTATTTTGCTAAAATTTTAATAGATCATAGTAGAGATTAAAAGGAGGGATACTAATTCATAAACGAGATTTTTGGGCATCGCATACTTTCATATACTACAGCAATCTTTAAAACTTATGGAGGAGAAATGAGATCAAGGTTATTTATCAGGGTTTCATAGTAATTTTCCACTAGCAAATTAATATTTAAATGATGTTGTTGCGAAAGCTAAAGCTTTAATCAGTCTTTGTAGGTTTGTATTTCAACGAAGGCATTTAAAAAATCTTAAACTAGATACCTCTAAATAATAAAGTGTTATTATTCTCTCTATATATATTCATTAAGATAACAAATGGTTAAAACTCATCACTCCAAAAATTTCTAAGAGCTTTTAACAGAATCTACCCAAACTCAACCCAGACACGTCAAAAATTAGAAATTCCAAACACCTGTAAATCTCCCAATCTATTTCTCCTTTTTCCTCTCTTCTTTTCCCTTTTACTTTATCCTTATTCTCCCTAATCCCTGTCTCCAAACTACCTGAAGATCCCCTTAAAACACTTAAAAATCTGTTATATCTTCTTTTAAACCTTTCTCTGGATCTTTATGAGCCTTCCCTAGTTGCTTACCGAGTAATTTCCATCGCCATGCTGATAAAGCTTCATGATTCTATATATCTCTTATCAATTTGTTATTATATAGCTGGGGTTTTGGGGTTTTGGGGTTTTGGGG